GCGCTGTGGAAGAATCTTCTGTAGTTACCACAGTTGTTGTTGTCGTTGCAGTTCCTTCGCTTGTTGATGTTTCTGCAGTCGTTGTAATTGGCGTTGTTGTAGGCGCTGTGGAAGGATCTCCTGCAGTTACCCCAGTTGTTATTACTATTGTAGTTTCTTCGCTGGTTGATGTTCTTGGGGTCGTTGTAATTGACGTGGAGGTGTTTTCTTCACTTGTTGATGTTTCCGGAATCGTTGTCGTTTGTAAAATTTGATCTAATTTATCTAAAGCCTCTGCCAACTCATTTTCCAAATTTGAATTTTCCACAGCTAATACGATTGTTGCTATACAAAAGGCTGTGGTAGTTAGAGCAAAAAAAACTGTCAACGTTTTTGCTGTCAAACATTGCAACATTTTTTATTGGAATTCAATGGAAGTTATAACCTAAAACACTTTTCCTCCGAATATGCTGACCTTGTACTAAGGAAGTGCAAACTATTAGTGGCGTTCGATGAGAATCTTAAGTAAATTTTATCGGCTGCGCTTTGCACACTTTGTTATCATAAATGAATCAAGTAATTGTATCGTTATTGAATTTACTTATAATACTAAGTAAGTGTAATAAAGAAATTTCATTTATCTTTTTTATCTCATATATACCGGCATAATTATTTATATATATCTACATATACTCAATGAAGTTATTACCTGGTTCCCAGGTTAGTGTTAGATGAAAAGCAAACGTAAAATGTGCTTTCTATCTAAGTAGTAAAAATTATCTGCGATCGAACGCAATTACGATTCGTTATAAAAATGTCAAAAGATATTTGCGGAGCGATAGCAAACCAGCCGTTATGTCATTCAAAAAAGCAATAGTCCGTCTTCTTTATTTATTGCCTACGTTTAGGCCAAGTCAATATTAAATCGTCAGATGTTACATCCGTTTGTATAGCATAAGAAACAGAAGAATTAAAAACGAATCTTTTAGCTAAAGTGCCCAAAAACGCAGAACTTTAATTAGGAAAAACGTTTATGAGTCAAAAAAATTGTGGCTAATTACGCTTCTCGGGCTTGGCACCTACACATATTTAATACACACGCCAGAGATCGGTAACCTATGGCCCGCGACATCGAAATAAGAATACATTACCGTCAACAAAGAAAAAGCAAAAAAGAGGTTCGGACGGAAAAGCATGGATGTAGCGAAAATGGTAACAAATTAATATGTACTTTAAGTACAGATATAAGCACCGCCGAGACTTGCAATATGGACCGATACTTTTCTTCAAAAGATGAAGATGTGAGTGAAATGACAAATGAAGCTAAACGAATTTCTTGTTACATTCGGGAACACGATGGTTAAGTCGAGACAAATTCCTTAACAGATTTGTAGATTTGTTTTGATAGTAGAGAAATAACACGAAACAATGGTTTTTAAGATTTTTGCTCTTAACAGACATAATAAACCGTTATAATGATTTCAACGTTCAACTACAAGAAAATAACTAAACAATGGAAACATTGGAAATGTATGAGGAATGGAAGAGTTTTACAACAAAAATGCTTTTATTTGAAGCTGAGATAAAAACTAAAAAATTTCATTCCTTTTGCTTGTTAAAAGGAGAACACGCAAAAGAAAATATCGATGAAAGCAAAGCAATCTAGATATGTTCGAAAGTTGGATTTTGAAATGCCTACACTTACAGTAGTCTCAATATCTAAAAAAAGTTTAGAATTAATTGACAAATAATTGATTTTAAAAGTTCAACGTTATGGACGAATGAATGAATGTAAGAAATTGCGGAAAGATTTGCAAAAAAAACAGACGATAATCATCTTCTTATCGCATCAACATGTTGGGCAGCGCTTCCTACGAAGTTTTCATCTTTCAAAAAAAAATTACCTTCGCTGTTTTGCTCACATTCGGTTCAACTTATAAATGTGGGCAAATATTTCCACAAATTGAAATTTATGTTAAGCAAGAACAGGAACAAGTTAACAACCTAAAGTTCAGATGCTTGTATTCGTTTGGTCTATGCTTAGTGCCAGCACTCCGGTTATTTTTCAAACAAACGAAAACATTTTAATTTCCTAAGACTGCTTTTTGCTGGAAAGACATTGTTCAAAATTAACTTTGGTTTCAAAGGTGTGTCTCCTGTGAAAAGATCAATTTCTCGTTGGTTTGCTGATATTAAACGAGATCGTACCAGAATAGCCAAAGTATTCACTATGCTGTCCGAATACTAAGAAACCTATTTTGCAAATGTGTTCGAATTGCTACCCTACTTATTATGTTTGCGAATCGCCAAAGGATGCTTCCGTAAAAAGGAATTGATTCAAATAACGAACTCATTGCGGAAACTGAAATGTATTTAAAGAGTGTTGATAAACCATTTTTTTAGCAAAGAAATGGAAATGTGTGGAAAACTTTTTCTTGGACGAGACTCTGATACACAAAAAAATGTTTACTTCGTCCTTAATGCTGAGAATTATTGACCGAGATATTGTATTAAGTTTTTCCTGGTCGCACAAATAAAATGCAAAAAATAATCATCTTATCGCACATTTTTCACGGCTTCACAACATTTAACGATTCGATAGCAAAAATCATGTTTAAAAAAATTGTTGTTAAAATTAAACGCTAAGTTTCTTACCCCTCCTGGATCTGGTAGATTAGGCGGCAATGTTGGATATGTTGGCAGATTTTCCGTATCATTTGTGGTACTTGGGCTATCCGTTGTTGAAACTGACGTGACAGGATTTTCCGTAGTTTTCACACTTGTTGTCGTTACTATTGTGGTTCTTGGAGTCGTTGTCGTTTGTAAAATTTGATCTAATTTTTCTAAAGCCTCAGTTAAATCATTTTCCAAATTTGAATTTTCCACAGCTAATATGATTGTTGCTATACAAAAGGCTGTAGCTGTTAGAGCAAAAAAAATTGTCAACGTTTTTGCTGTCAGAAATTGCAACATTTCTTTTATTGATATCTAGTGGAAGTCACTCCTTAAAACACTTTTCCTCCGAAAGCTGAGCTGCTACTACAATGGTGTAGACCATCTCTTGTAGTTTTCTTAACTTACAATTTAATCTATCGCGCATTTAATTCACTTGAAAATCAATAGTGACATGCGATTGGTAGCCCAAGTAAATTTTATCTGCCGCACTTTGCACATTTTATCAGGATAGTCTTTATGATTTTGATATGATATCCAGGGTTATCAAGAAATATGCAATGAGTCAAACTTCTACCATTAGTAAGCTTGTAAATGGTAGTAAATATTATATACACATAATAATATTAACAAGTAAGAAAATTAAATTCGGTCAGGACCGAATCTTTTATACCCATCACCGTTTAGCCCCCAACAAGTAAAAGAGTAAAGTTCTCATGTTCTATATTATCGAGCGGGCACAGTTGATTTTTTCTATTTTCAAAATAAAAGTTTTTGTCGTTGAGGCTTGTGGGCGTTGCAGGCGTGTCCTTTGAAAAATTTAGATCAATTCCAAATTCTTTTACAAATTTTCAGTTTATGAGTAACAAGCGGTTCTCATTTTTGTTGCATACAAGTGCGTGCGTCGTTTCAAATTCTTTCACAAATTCCTTTTGAAAAACCGAGAGGCCTTCACTTTACGCGATTCTGTAAGCATACACTACAACTGGTTTGGTCCACTTTTAGGACCACCATACGTGCAAGAATTCCCAATCTTTCCGCGAAATTTGAGGTCGACAGCGCACTTTTTGCGGCCAGGAGAACGCTTACAATAGACATTAATTTATTGGAAAAGCCTCCATCCACTCCCATTTAAAATGTTATGTTGAGGATGTGTACAATCACTAAGAATGAAAAGAAAGAATAATGGACCGGTTTGAAATGCCGCTGTCTTGATTTAAAGCTTCAATTGTCTGTCGACTATGGTCAGAAAATATTTAGATTTTACCCTGCCCACAATTATTTTTTGTACCATTTTTAATAGTTTAATTTTCCGAAAACGAGACGGTGCGGTTCTCTCTTTAATATATTTTCTAAACCGTAAAAATTAGCTACGATCGGGCAAAGTTCTGATGCCGGATAAAAATATTGAAAATTCCTATAACAAAACAGTAGTACAGTCATACAAAAAAGCAAAAGTCCATATCTCTTAATTATTGCCTACATTTAGGTAAGTGCATAATACCAATAATTTTTGTTATACAGATTGATTCGCAAGAGAATTAATTAACAAGAGTAGCTAAGAAACATCTTAGGGACTACTATTCGAGTATACCTTTATATCTGGAGAAATTGTTAATGCTCTGAATCTGAAATCTCAGAAAGAAATACATACTTATTGATAATCTTTCCGTCTCTTTCACCGATTGTCATTTGTATATATTATCTTGAATTTTCAGATTCCTAGGACAAATCAGTCGTACCTCTGTTTCTGCGCGATTCATTGCAACCTTTCCCAATGCATTCAAAGTAGCTAATCCATCGACTTTTCTTTTCAATTAACAGGTGTAATCATAAAACAATCTCCACCAATAAACTTATCACCCTTTCATTATTCGCGGATAGTAGTAGTGTGATTTCACCGGAAGCAAAAGCCTGTTAGCTCTGTTACTACAAGTGGGACCAGTCTGTTTGTCTGTGGGTTTTCTTCTCTATTCTATCCCACTGTTCTGATCTTTTATATTTTTTGGTTAGATTTAGCGACGCAGAGCAACTGTGCGTGGGATCAGTACGATTTCCGACGAAGGAATTCGAAAACGATGCTTGTTTTAGAAAATAAATGGCTTTAATTTATTTTGTAATTAAAATTTATTATAAATAAATAGAATTAACATTTTGAAGCCAATCATGCACAGCTGCTAGATTGTTCTCCAACCAAGCCACATTGCTTTTCACATTCTCTAATGCTCTTTTACGAGCTGCAGCTCCAGCTCCTGCCTCTGGATATTTTTCAAAGAAATGCTCCATTTCTTCAAGCTTCGTTTCCGTGGAAAAGCGCCCAGTAATCGATGGTATCATATTACCCAGAGTACGTTCGTTTAGACCGAAACGTCTCACTAAATCGGGCCAATGTTCACGCACATAATCCCAGACAATAGTCTCACCAACGGGATTGGAAGCTATGTACTGCATGCAAGTAAAGTAATCCTGCCCTCGAACATAGTCCTCGTTCCAAGCCAATTCCACGTACCTTTTATTAAAGGGGACTATCATTACTATATGTTCCATTAGTGTAAATCTTAGACTTTAAGCTGACCTGTATAAAATCGATGGGTTTTGTATTGCAGCTAAACCGTACATAAGATTAGATTTTTCGTTGGCATCTTTTTCTGCCACAAATAGTTGCCACATTTGGTGCCAATAGTCTTCACTGTTCGTCTCCATCATGCCGTAGTAGTAGACGGTATTACGAATGTCAGGGTGAGGAAGTTGATCGGGATTTTTTATCCATTTCGTAAAACGCTTCGAAGCTTCTGTTAGGCAATCAGGCAAACCTACCGAACAAGCTGAACTTAAGACGACTACACGCAAGCGACTGCAAGGCAACATGGAATACACTTCAATAAAAAATATCGAATAAAATGTTATCTTAGTTACTTGTTCAAATGATCGTCTGAAGGGTCAGCATTCCAACCCACCGTTAAATAAATGGGTTTTATTAAATCTCTAGCGTAGTCACTGAACTGCTCGCTGCTATTGGTAAACATGAGCACACGTCTTAGCGAAGTCAGTTTTCCTGCAGCCACACTCCATGGCACAAAATCAGTTTCTTCAATTAAATACTTTGTCATATCCAAAGCTAGATCGTACTTTAGTTGAGTAGAATCGGCCAATGAGAAAGCGTCGTTTAATAAGCAAGCTCGATCTGTCACAGAGAACGTCTGCGTGTATCAAATAAAACAAATTGGATAAAATAATGAGAGATAGACAAAGGGATTCTTGTTAAGCACCGTAGGAGTTTCGGACAGTTTAGAAGCCAAGGTGCGCCACATCTCCGCGGGATAGTTTACGCGATAATAGCCAACTTGATCGTAATTGAATTTGATCCATTCCACTTTCTGAGGTAAACTGATGACAACTTTGAAGGAAAAGAAATAAATTTGTATAGTTTTGACATACATCAGTTCTTTTTATATTTGCCTCGATTGCCCTCGACTATGCCAGAATGAAGTCAAAGCCGTTTAGTTCAATTTATATTGTGACTTGTATTCAACGATTTTACTAAAGAGACAGCAACCCTTTTCGTAAGATTTACTGCAGAGGAGGCTTTCTTTAAGTCCGAAGGAGTGAGTATCTACCAAAAAAGTATGGAGACAAGTGACTTAATTAAGCGGTTTCCCGAAAGAATGAAACCTATCTTCCCGTGAATTATTACGCAAAGGACTGAAAATTAGAAATTATTCTTTTTGTCGAGGGCGGACTATAGCTTCTCCAACAATTAAAACGCCCCTAAAACTTATATGTAATCGAGATGAGATCGATCGACATTTTCCTGTTTGTGAAGGCACCGAAGACAGTCGAGGAACAAAGTGAGGCTTGCTTGCTGACTTTAACTACCTTCATTTTGATCGTATGAGAACCATTCACGCTGTACCCTATTATCTGCACTTGTTTTATAGGTAATCGGAATAGACCATTTGTAGCTGAAAGATTCGAGTATTAATTGTAGTGTAGAGAGAATAGAAATATGTTTAAAAACTTACTCGAACGGCGAGTCATCATAAACACCGTCGTAGTCTTGGGGATTAGAAAAGAAACGTTTTTGGGTCAACCTCCAAGTAACAGCGTCTAGCTGCTCCACATTAACCACCGGTAAACCCATTTGTTCGGTCCAAGTACCCATAATAGTTTTAACATCGATGCCAAGGTTCAAATTGTCGATCTCAGTTAAAAAGTCATCGGTCACTGCGTTGCGATATTTAAATTTATTCAAGTAATTAGTAACAGCTCTTTGGAAATTTTCTGGACCCAAAAAATCTTCTAACATTCTGATGATTGAGGCTCCTTTCGAATACGTGATGGTATCGAAAATTTCCGTAATTTGGTCGGGGTTCGTGACCGTCTGTATAATGGGATGGGCGGCCAAGGTTCCATCTAAACTTAAAGCCTCATGCAGGGTTTTCGTCACAAATTGATCTTGCTAATAGAATATGTAAATACGTAGAATAATAGAACTCTAAAAGGAATGCCTACTGGAAGGTAGAACTTACCATGCCCCATTCAGGAAATTTAGCTTCCACACCTTTGTTTTCAATATATTTAGCAAAACCTTCATTCAGCCACAAATCATTCCACCACATCATAGTAACTAAAACAAGTGCAGTAATAAACCCTTGTTAAATAGACATTATTAAAGCCTCCGCTATCGGCGGGAAGATTACCTAGATTTCCGAACCACATATGAGCGAACTCATGAGCTATAACGCTTGCAATTCTTTGCTTATTCTCTGTAGAACTGACTATTTCATCGTAAAGTAGAGCTGTTTCACGATACGTAACCAAGCCCCAATGTTCCATAGCACCAGATACAAAATCAGGTATGGCAGCCATGTCTACGTTCGCATATTTAGGAGCAAAGTTAGGGCGCATATCAAATTCTCTCCGCAATTCTTGACTTACCTAGTTTAGGTAGCGGATATTCAATTTGGAAGTAATTGATATAATATTCAATTACTGCTTTGCCCACTTCCAAGGCGAACTGTATCTTGTCAACTTGCTCAGGTGTGGCAAATGCTCGCATTTCGAAATTTTTACCTATACCGTTGGTCTCGATGCTGACCGATTTGTGATCAAAATCGGAAACAAT